GTCTTCCTGGTCTACAGACCAGGCAGACGCGGAGCAGCTTTTCTCGCCGGGAGTACACGGGCGGTGGGACCTCAAGGTCCCGCAGTCCGTGTTCGTAACTGCGGATCCGACATAAGTCGGATCCGCGTAAGTCGGGGACTGCCTGTAATGCAGTGTCTGTACAGTCATTTAAAAAACAACAAATAATCTAGTAGCATTTTAAAGGCTAACAAAACATGTAGATGGTATCACGAGCTTTTGTGGGCAAAACCCAGATACTGTTTCATTCAACTCAAGGTCCCGCAGTCCGTGTTCGTAACTGCGGATCCGACATAAGTCGGATCCGCGTAAGTCGGGGACTGCCTGTAATGCAGTGTCTGTACAGTCATTTAAAAAACAACAAATAATCTAGTAGCATTTTAAAGGCTAACAAAACATGTAGATGGTATCACGAGCTTTTGTGGGCAAAACCCAGATACTGTTTCATTCAAACTATGGTGACCTAAGCCTTGTGCCTCTAATCTAGGTGGATTTACTGCAACAGTGGGAGAAATACTGTAGAGTGTATGCTTATATACTTAGGTTAACCTAAGCTGTCTACCATCGACTTAACTTGTAGGGTAGTCATAATCTTAGTAATACAAGATTTAAACAGTTAATATAATTAACAGAAACCCTTTTTAGCCCACAGATAGCGTGTATAATCACTGACTTGTAAACTAGCACCTTAAAGATACACAATTCTCTTTTCTAGAAAAGGTTTCAGTTATTGTTTGTCTTTACAGTTACTGAATTTTTAAAATGCATGAGCACTCTAGACCAGTGTTCCCAATAAGATGAATGCTTGGACAGTGATCCAGGAGAGATTCAAATTGTGCCCAGCTGATTTTCAGAGTGCCCACAGACAGCAGCATATGTTTCTACTGGTGGTGCACATCTGTACATGCCTCAGTACATATAATAACATTTATTCTGTACATGAATGGGAAAAATTAGAGGGAACCCAGCTATAGACACTATCTCTGTGCATTCAGACTTTAATATATAGAATTTAAAGATGTAACCTTTTATATAAAAATTGACATAGCCTTTAGAAAAACAGATTTCTCTGAAACTGAGTAGCAAGAATTATCTGATAATTGCTACTTATTTGTGGTGATCTGTCAATTTTGAGTTAAACTGCTGCTTGTTATATATGTGCCAATTAATAGTAAAAGTAGGACAGAAATAAAATGTTTCAAGCATCTTATTAAGATTTCCTTCTGCATTTCTTGAGGTGGAGAAACTGAATTTAAACTGCGGGAGAACTGTAGCCTAAAACAACAGAATGAGTCCAAAGCAAAGTGCATTTCTGTTCATCAAGCTTACCTGTGTGTCTGACTGGAGGAAAGTCAGAGTTCTCTTGACTAGTGATATTGCTGTGATAAAATGAGTGCAGAGATGCGCACACAGTTCATGCAAAAAAAAGAAAAAAATAATTTTGCAGTAACTTTACAGTATCTCTTTTCTTCTAGTGGACTTTCAGTGGACAATTCTAAGTTAGATGGACCTTTGTTACAGATTTTATTTATGAACAATGTTATTTCAAAGTAAGTAAATTATGCTGCTAATAAAGTCTAATTGCCTTTTAAGGTTGCCTATGTTGATTTGTTAGTGTGCAATAGTGACATGCATTAACCTTTCTCTGTTACAACAGTCTAATATAAATCTGTTGTACACTGATGACTTTTTCAGATTACTTATTCAGTACTGCAAAATCCCTTTAATATCCCAATTCTAACTGATATGCTACTTTCCTATAAGTCATTTTATGATTGATTTTCTCAAACATACATATATTAAGGTGTATGTTGAATGTACACCGACAGCTTCATCTTTCGGATGAATTTTTTGTAAAAAGGTGTTTGACGGAATATATTTTAAATGTTCTGAAACTTATTTTTAAAAAACTTTAAGTGTTCAGTGCTCATGTTCAAAGTAGTCATTCCTCTCCTTCCCTTCCTTTTTATGCACATGCCTATCTGCTGTCCTTTCTTTTTTTTCTTCCTGTTTTGGTTACACTGCTGCCTTAATCACCATTTTGTGGGCTTGGGGAAAATATCAATGTGTGTTCCCTAGATCTCTGTGTTCATGACAAGAAGCTCACCTGGCTACAATATAGTGAAACAGACTATATACAAAGTGTTTTCAAATGCACAAAAATAAACTGAAAACTGTTTTTCTCTGATCTTAAGGCCAGGGATAAGTAATAGGGATTACGTTTAACCATAGTTTGTACATTTTTGGATATAAATGTCACTTTATTTAAAAGTTGATTGTGTCCTTTTTAAAAATAGCTGTTGCTCTTTTGCAGTAGGAATATAAATGGTTAACCAGTAGGGGCTGGAGCAGCTCCCCGCCCACCTTGGGCAGAGGGCTATTCCAGCTTCCCCCACACCGCAGGCAGGGGCTGCTTCAACAAGACAGCCACAGCAGCCTCTGTCTATGGTAAGGATGTTAGATATCAATTAATTTACTAGTTGAGTAGTCAATGGAATTTCCATTGACTTCTCAACTAGTCTATAGGCACTTCCGCATTCCTCCTTTAAAATGTACAAAGGCCCCAGCGGGGGCTCCTGTGCATTTCAAAGTTGGAATTCCACATGCAGCCCAGGACCAGTGGGAAGTCCTGCCAGCCTCTGTCTATGGTAAGGATGTTAGATATCAATTAATTTACTAGTTGAGTAGTCAATGGAATTTCCATTGACTTCTCAACTAGTCTATAGGCACTTCCGCATTCCTCCTTTAAAATGTACAAAGGCCCCAGCGGGGGCTCCTGTGCATTTCAAAGTTGGAATTCCACATGCAGCCCAGGACCAGTGGGAAGTCCTGCTGACTCTGGGCTCCACACAGGCGTTTCTGCTTTGAAATGCTGCCATCTGTGGCACACCACCCAGGCCTGCTATCTGGCCCAAGGTGGGCCCACCATAGACTAAGGATGTTAAGAACTGGTCAACTATCTGATAAGCACATGCATTTTCTGCTGCCTCTATCTGACCGACACAGCAAAGGAAGGGGGGAAAGCGGATACTTCAAAGCAGCAGTACCACACGGAGCCTCCCTAGCTGACCCCGGGCTCCGTGCGGCATTTCCACGGAACCGAGTCAGCTGGGGAGTCTCCTGCTGATCTCAGGCTCCGTGCGGTGCTGCCACTTTGAAATACCGCGCAGAGCCTGGGGTCCCAGGGCATTTCAAAGCGTGTGCCCCTTTGCCATGGATTACACACTGCAGAGCTCATAGCAATGCATTCGTGGGAGTGAGAGTGGTAGCAGCTCCTACCAGCTGCACTCCTGGAGAGGTTTTGCTGCCTCAGCAAAGCCGCCTCCCTGGCATTGGGGCTGTGACAGCAGCCTTTGCTGGCCCTGCTCCCAGGGAGGCTTCATTGCAATCTCTACGGAATAAAGCTTAAATAAGCAAGGCCTGCAGCATGTGTAACCTCTGTGATTTTTAGCTGTTACATTTCTTAATGAATTTTTACATTGCTATTTTACAGTACAGGTACTATAAACAAAACTCCTAGATGAAAGTATAAAGATCTCAGAGTTTGGTGGTAAATAGGTACTAAAAGCTAAAATTTAGCATGAAGTGTAATATTACTAACTTCTTTGTAACTAATACTGCAAAATTTTTATTTTTTTAAAGTGATATTTTGAATTGCTACTAACACTTCTCATTTAAAACTGTCAGACTTTTTCTGGTTTTCATATACATCACTTTCAAAACAATTTTTAAAGAACCTGTGATCTGATGCTCATGGTTTCTCTCTGTTAATTTTAGAGCAGCCTATTAAGAAGTGTGAAGTATTGTAAAGTCTGAAAAAATTGATGGAGGGGGAATGATTGTGTCTGTAGTAGGGATGTTAGATAGCATTGAATAGACATGTAACTGCTAAAATTTTATGAGGTTACATGACTATTTGATAATTCCCAGAGGCAGGGCTGGCAGCCAGTGCTCTTGTGGCCCCACTTCCAGGAAGCCCCCTGCTGCCCCATTTTACTCAATTAGCTGACTATCTGCAATTTAACATCCCTATCTCAAATCCACAAAAGCTGTATTAAATAGGATGTTTGCAGTTTTGAATTTGCTTTTTAACACATTTGCATGTCTTTATTTTCTTATTTATAGATGTGATGTGTTGGTTACACTTGGGCAGCATTAAACGTAGATTTACTGGCTGTTTCTTAAGATGTATGCATATAGAAAAAAAAATGTTGGGAACAAAATGCTTTTATCCTGAACATTGAACAAAGTAACTTAATTAGACCACGTTAAAAATTTATAATTTCAGTTTCAGGAATTCAGTCTGTTGTATTCTCTTATTTCTACCCTTTGCAGGCAGTATCATCAAGAAATTGAGGATTTTATTTCTAGTTTAGTTCAAAAATATGAGGAACAACAGAGAGCTGAATCAGAAAGGACTCACTTCAATGTTAAGCCTCAGGTATACAAGTTCAAAGAATATAGACATCATCTGGTCTACTGTGTGCAGTTCTGGTCTCCCATGTTTAAGAACAATGAATTCAAACTGGAACAGGTGCAAAGAAGGGCTGGCTATTAGGATGATCAGAGACCTGGAAAACCTATTTTATGAGACGAGACTCATATAGCTTGGCTTATTAAACCTAATGAAAAGAAGGCTGTGAGTGCAGGTCGATATGATTTCTCTCTAAATACAGCAGAGGAATAAATAGCAGGAAATGGAAGGAGTTTTTTAAGTTACGTAGCAATGTGGACATAAGAACAAATGGATATATAAATTGGTCATCAGCATGTTTAGGCTTCAGATGAGAGGTTTTTAATCATAGGATTGAATTCTGGAAAAGCCAATGGAAGTAGTGGGTAAAATTAACAGGCTTCAAGACTAAGCTTAATAAGTTTATGGAGTGTATGGTATGATAAGACTACCTACAATGGCATATAACCAGTGTGTGACTGCTAGCAGCTGATATCACAAGTGTCTGGTGATGGTACACAAGATGGGGAAAGCTCTAGGTTACTACAGAGAATTATTTCCCAGATGTCTCACTGGTGGATCTTGCTCATGTCCCCAGGTTTAAATGATTGCCATATATGTTGTTGGGAAGGAGTTTCTCCCAGATAAGATTTGTTGAGACCCAAAGGTTTTTTTGTCTTCCTCTGTGGCACAGGTCACTTACAGGTTTGAACTAGTGTAAATGGGATATTCTCTGTAACTTGAAATCTTCCAGTCATGTTTTGAGGACTTTGATAATTCAGCCAGAGGTTATCGTCTATTATAGGAGAGACATACAATGTGCAGGAGGTCAAACTATATGATCCTGATGATCCCTTCTGGTCTTAAAGTCTGGGTTTATAGAAACATAATGGTTTGGAGGTTTACCTTCCTTTTTGTTGTAATATCACACTGCTAGAGTATCTTAATTTCCGAATTTTTTTTCCTACTATTTACAAATGGTACGTTTTTCTCAAATGTTGAATGGGGATAGGTCTTCCTATGTCTTAGAAGTAAATCCATTCATTAACTACCACTTCCTTTGGACAGTTAAGTGAAACAAGGAATTTCTCTTCTCCTTCTCCTCCTAATCATCCTCTTTCTCCTTGCCATCCCAGAGGCTGAGCATGTTTCCTCCATAGCATTCCCAGCCCATGACACCAAGGGACTAGCTAGTAGAAATCAAAGCAATGTCACCTCTTGGGTTATTAACACTAGCCAACAAGTCATATATTTCATATACTAACATATAGTTAACTAAGCTGGAACCAGCAATTATATCATTTATATTTTATTTTCAGCAATTAAGGATATTTTATATGTAATTTTTTTTGCCTTTTCAAATTAGCCATCCAGTATTCTGTTGGAAGAGGACCATAAAGTGGCCAGCTCTAATACAATAAAAAAAATTAAGGAAGCTTTCAGTGTAAGTTAAACTTTATATTCTTCAATGGTTGTTCCAAAGTTCTATTTGTACTTTTAGTCCACAGTGTCTTTATAAGAAGATAGAGAAAGTTTTAGCAATGTAATTCTGATTGACTTCATTGGAATTTGTGATGCTTTATCTGCATAATACTTGGAAAATTACTTATGTACATAATGTGATTGAAATACTGACCAATTCCTGACTCTTTCAACAGGTTGTAGGAAGTGTTCTGTATTTTACCAATTTTTGTCTTGATAAACTGGGACAACCTATATTAAATGAAAATCCACAGCTGACAGAAGGATGGGAAATACCCAAGTATCCTGTTTAATGAAATGGAATTCCTTTTTCTGTTTATATAACCAAATAACACAATCAGACAAAATTGCAGAAATAGCTTTAATTTCAACTTTGAAAATCTTCTGTGACAGTCTACAGGCTGCCCCTGACTTGCGACGTGATCAGCTCAGGGGATAGCATTGCAAGTTGGGAGGGGCATTGTAACTCGAGCCTGCATTTACAACAAGCATCAGATGCCGTTGTAAATACGGGTCCGAGGACATAAGTCGGACAATTTTGGCCCCTTCCACTTATGGAAAAGCTCGTAAGTGCAGGGAGTCATCGTAAAGCAAGGGCCTCCTGTACTAGCTCATATCAGTGTTTTTATCTGAAGTCAACTGAAGAATTATTTGTATTATTTCAAAGTTGTTTAATATGGTGGACTTGCCCTTTGAAGGAATCATGTTCTGCGTGAAGAAATATTTCACGCCTGTAAACATGCTTTGCTGTCAGTCTAAGAATTGCTGTTGGTACAATGTATGGCATGATCTGGACTGAGCAATTCTGGTGATTAGTTCTCGTTCCTTACCACTATAAATACATTGCTTAATAGAAGCAAACAAATCCTAAGTGTACTTTGTGCTATTTTAACTAAATGTTAATGACCTCTGCGTAGTTTTTGGAGAATAAGTCCTGTTTAAACAGAATTTTTTTCAGTCTAGTCTTCCAGTTCCTCTCTTCTCTTAATTTGAGATCCAAAATTCAAGAAGAACATCTTCAGGTGATAGTTCTTGATTACAGAAGGACAAACATACAAACAAAAATTGGACTATTTAATCCATTCACATACACTTAATGCTCAAGTGGTTCTCTGCTCTTCTGCTTTCCCTTCAGTACCTGCCTACAAAAAGGTCAAAGTCTGTTTAAAGCTTTACAAATCGTTTCTAAGATCTCTAAATTTTGTTAATCCTATATTAAAGGGACACATTCACTGTCCAAAAGGCCAAAATATCTATCCTATTGCTTTACAATTCTGTAATAATAATTTAGTGTGCCTTCAGTGAGTGAGAGCCCATCTGTTTAGCTACCCAATCTTAATTTATTGTATCTGCCTTTACATGCACATCATGCTATAATTTGTTCTTCCTGTCATCTGCTTTCTCATAAACTATCAGGAAATTGAAATTAGCACAGCTTCTCTACTGTTTAGTTAGTACTTTAGAGAATTAGGGTTCTGGTCAGTGTAAATAGTTTAGTGGCTTCCAAGAATGTCCTCACATGGAAAAAGTATGATTTGGTATGGCTGATGGTAAGAGAAAGGAGAAAGACATTGCAGGGGGCAGGAAGAAATGCTGTGGGCAGGGGGCTGGACTTGATGACCTCCTCAGGTCTCTTCCAGCTCTATGATTCTAACTTTGACATTCTCATTAAAGGTGACATCTCCCTTAATTTAGTTTCTAGTAGCTAGACCAAAAGAAGACTCCCTTTAGGGTTACCTGGTGAACCTTCTGTTTGTTTTGACAGGTTACAATGTAACTAAATATTTCAGTTGTTAAGTTTATAATGGAGTGCAATTGGAATTGTGATTTGTAACTTATTAGTGAGAATGCACTTGTAGTTTAATTCATGACATTTTTCTCTCTAAAGTATCGTAACTATCAATTAAAACAAGATTAAAATTCTACTTTGTATAGTAACAGTTCCTTATTGAAATCTAAGATACCAGCAAGTTTTCAGCCAAATTGTTTCTATGGATGGGCAAGAAATACAAGTAAAGGCAAAAAGGTTTGTATTTATCTTAACTATGAAGTTTTTCAGATTAAATATATTAAAATGTGCATTGTGTCTATTAAAGGGTGAGATGTATTTGTGAGTAGATCACTTTTTATGTTCCTAAATTAAGTTAACAATATCAAATTTTGCACTAGAAATAATTTTGGGGGATATTTTTTGTTTTGTTAGAGAATACTGAAAAGAGAGACAATCAACTGTGCGAGAAACAACTGGTTCTGAACTAACTGGTTTTATGCTTTGTTCTTTTTGTTCCAAGTATTTTTTAAATAAATTGCTTTGTCATCTCTGCATTTAATAAAAAATGATTGTAGAGCAGTTTGTGTAGCCATTGTGAGGAAAAGTAGAATGACAGCAGAGTGGTCATTTTGAAATTCCAGGAGACCCTCGTCCTTGTTTTTTCCAGCATCTGAAATAACTGATCTTACCTCCCAAGCTAAACTTTTCTATAATCTACTGCATATTCAAGGGAAATATTAGGTTTTGAAAGAAAAGCAGATTTGCAACCACGATTCACTATAAATACTTCCAGATGATGGATAAAGTAGTCTGAGGGAACAATTTGCATCAAATCTGTTTGAATTCTAACTTCTGAAAAAACAAATGTCTCCTCCCTTCTCCTTAAGTCTGTCATAAAAATGAAAGCTTTTAAATAAACCCTAGGTTGTCCATTTTATTTACTTTCCCTTACTCTATTGGTAAAAGTGACTGAGTATGCACAGGAAACTAAGGGTTTGCACAGGAAATTTAAAGGGACAGTAAAGTTTAATTTGGTCCAAATATGATGTCTTGTGAAAACCAGTCTTTTAAAAATCAGGTTGTCAGTAGAAACACTTACTGGATTTTTTAAAAAAAATCATAAAACTATTGGTTTTTAGACAAGTAAGTATTTTCTTGCAGCATTTCTAACCTAAACACTGAAGTGCTAAGGACCTGAAAGTGAATCTGTGACAAGCAAAATTAAAACCTGGTTTCAAATTTTATTTTCCTACATGAGAGAAATTCAGTGAATTGAACATATCAGCAAGGAATTGAGACTTCTAAAATGTTCTCTTATAATAATCCAGCATGGTAATAATAGCATCTGAAAAAAATTGTTTGACTTATCTGAGTTGTAGTGTCCTTTTAACTAAATCCTTCAAATACATTGCTTTTATAATGCTTCTATGCTAGGCTTCCATATTTTGCCCCAGCCTTTGTGTTGTCTGCAGGAATGGTGGAAGCTCTTTACAGATGGGAAAGTAGAGGAGCGGTAACAAGGCCTAATATGTGGCGAGCTGGTGCTCAGCTGGGAAGGATTATTGTAGGATACCTACTGGGTCCATTACATCCCCTCCAGGTCTTCCTGCCCCGCTTGATCCCACGTGCCACCACAGCCCCTCCATTTTTTCCAGGTCCTGCTTCCTTTTCTGCTCCCATCCCTGCAGCAGATTTTCTAGTCCCAGGAGATCTTGTCCTTCCTCTTCACCTCCCTCAACCAACCATGAGTTTATATGAGGCCGGAACACCCACAGTACTTCCATTGTAGGATTGATAGCCCCCTAAACCCTGGTTGTCTAGATTGTAAGGTCCATGGGGCAGAAACATGATTTTACCTTGCTAGCTATTTGCAAAGTAACTAGCACACTATTAACTTGACACAAATAAGTATATAATTTTCAGTAAAAAGTACTTCAGTCAAAGGAAACAGTTCTATAATAGTGAGTGTCTTCTAAAAAGGGACCTAATCCAATTTATCTGAAGATATTTCAACTTTTTTTGTCTCTAATTTTTTGCATTTGACAGTACTTTATATGGCTTTCTTTGTAATTAGTTTCACATATTTCACCTGACGCCATCAGAAATATTTTTAAATAGGAAAATAGGGGAGGAGGTGTATTATAAAAAATTGGAGGAAGATGCATGTTTAGGAGTAGTACACAAGTTATATATTTCTTAAAACTGACTAGATTTCAAGTTAATGTAAATCTTTGCATGCAATAGAATAATGAAAAATAAGTATACACTTCAAAAGTACATTTTTTAAAGAGAAGCTTACAATGTAAATTTATTTAATGCTTTCCTTAAGCAGGCCAAAACCTCATTGTTTCAATTGTGGTTCTGAAGACCATCAAATGAAAGATTGTCCAAAGGTAAACTTTTCCTCGCTATCCAAAAGATTGCCTCTGAGTTACCCAAAAAATATTTCAGTGCAACAAAGTTTGTAGACTCAGAAAAATCACATTGGTCATTTTTTATTAAAGGTGAATAACTGTATGTATATCTGTCAGAATTGTAACTTAAGAGATATAAATCAGATTTCAAATGAGCCTGTCATGGCATAATGGTGTGAGCCCTCTTTTTTAAAGAAAAGTCTCCTTACTAGGGCTGTCAATTGACATGCATTAACGCCTGCAATTAATGCAGTCCAGGATTAACACATTAAATTTTTTAAACATGTTAATCACAAGCGTTAGTGCTGCGCTGCCCCTTTGAAGTGCTGCTGCAGCACTTCAAAGGGACAGTGCAAAGCGGAGCCCGGGGTCAGCTGAGGGTTCCCCAGCTGATCCCTGGCTCCATATGTCATTTCCTCAGAACCTGGGATCAGCTGGGGAGCTGACCATGGGTTCTGGGGAAATGCTGCGTGATCAGTCCCTAACTGACCCCGGGCTCCAGGGCTGCCCGTTTGAATTGCCTGCGGAGGTGGCATTTTAAAGGGGGAGTCCCGAGCTGATCCCAGGCTCTGCACAGCATTTCCCTAGAAATTGTTGGGGAGTCCCCAGCTGACCCTGCGTTCCTCTGCTGTGGGGAGCCAAGGATAAGCTGGGAGCACCCAGCTGACCCCAGGCTACACAGCAGCTGCCCCTTTGAAATGCCAGAGGTGGCGTTTTAAAGGAGCAGCTGCCATGGAGCCCAGGGGCAGCTGGGGACTCGCCAGGTTCTGGAGAAATGCTTCTTGGTGCTGCCACTATCTAATACAGGCAGCAAAAGGGGGGTAGGGTTGACTAGTCTTTAATTTCCCTACCAGGGATCAGCTGGAGTGCCCAGTTGATCCCAGGCTCCTAATGTGCTGCCCCTTTAAGGCCCCCGGGCAGCATTTCCAAGGGGCAGGGCAATGTGAAGCCCTGGATCAGCTGGGCACTCCTGCTCATGTTGGGTTTTGTGTTGCACTGCCCCTTTGATGCGTGACCACGGTGCATCAAAGAGGTAGCACTGCATGGAGCCTGGGGTTAGCTGGGGACTGTAGCAGGTTCTGGAGAAATGCTTCTTGGTGCTGCCACTATCTAATACAGGCAGCAAAAGGGGGGTAGGGTTGACTAGTCTTTAATTTCCCTACCAGGGATCAGCTGGAGTGCCCAGTTGATCCCAGGCTCCTAATGTGCTGCCCCTTTAAGGCCCCCGGGCAGCATTTCCAAGGGGCAGGGCAATGTGAAGCCCTGGATCAGCTGGGCACTCCTGCTCATGTTGGGTTTTGTGTTGCACTGCCCCTTTGATGCGTGACCACGGTGCATCAAAGAGGTAGCACTGCATGGAGCCTGGGGGTAGCTGGGGACTCTAGCCGATCCTGGGCTCCATGCAGCGCTGCTGCGGTATTTCAAAGAGGAGACACATGCGATTAATCGCAATTTATATTTTTTAATAGCTTGACAGCCCCGCTCCTTACATGTTTGTAGCTTTCCTTCTGAAGCTGGCAGTTTTCTAAAGTTCACTTGGTTTTATTTTTTATTATAACTTCCATTCAGTGGAACAATGAGCTGGCCTTGATTTTGTGATATATAATATCTTCTATGCTCTAGTTGACTAACTTTCAGACAGCTTTTAATATTTTGGTGTGGGTTGAGTGAATTGTGGGCTTGAATTTCAAGTTGCATCATGGTGAATCTCCCAACTGTATTATCTTTAAGCCACGGAATGCTACCCTTATAAGTGAGAGAAGAAGAGAGTTCATGGAAGCCTGTGGTGAAGCAAGTAACCAGAACTTTCAGCAGCGTTATCATGCAGAGGAAGTAGAAGAGAGGTTTGGAAAGTTTAAACCAGGAATAATAAGGTATTTTCACCCCAGTCTCCATTGAATGGATTGCTATATTTCACACATCAAATAGCTTTTCTGCCATTTGTAGTGTACCAAAGTTGTCACATACTATATTCTAATTCTCTTGGTAAGTGAATCCTTAGTTGTAGATCCCGTTTGTAAATGTTTTGATGTGTTGATAAATTCCTCAAGTTTTTCCTTTTCATGCTGAAACTTTCCTCATTATCCTACCCTGTCCAGTGTTTCCCTGATCTAGGTAATCCGGTAATTATATGTACTGAGTCCTCAGGTTAGTCTTTTAATGATGGAAACAACACATTTCTGTGGCTCTTGTGATCATTTTTAGGATTATTACCGATTCATGCTGGATTCTGCAAATATTAAACTTTTTTTTCATTTAAAAAAATCTTTTTTCCATCTGAAATATCATTACACCATTTAACAAGAAGACAACACTTCCATTTAATCTAGTTTTACAGGAAGGATAATTTTTCTTACACAGATTATCTTAAAGGTTATAAATTTCATTGCACAAACCCAGAAATGAATTGTGGCTCTCAAGAGGCAACTTTCTGAGAATCTAGATTTAGACATACATCCATTTATTTGCATTGTATAGGCAAGTTAATGTAAGATTGTGAACTTTAGCTTTCTAATTTTCTGATTGGTCATTTAACGCTTTAATCTTAATTTAATTCTGCATCTAATATAATAAATCAAATGGATATTCCAAGGGATTAACTGTACAAGATATATAAATGAAACAACCTGATTTTTTCTCTTAAAGATGACTATCTTGCTTTTATAGCTAGATACTTTAATAACTGAGTAACTTAATCTTAAATAATAAACTAAAAGTCGTCTTAAAATATTAAAGATGATTTTTGAGTTTTGTTATTCCTGTGTACTACCTAGTGAAGAACTTCAAGATGCACTTGGTGTAACAGATAAGAGTCTTCCTCCATTTATATATCGCATGCGCCAGCTGGGTTACCCTCCAGGTTGGCTCAAAGAGGCTGAACTGGAGGATTCAGGACTTGCACTTTATGATGGAAAAGGTAAGTCGTATACAGCTAGGAAAGCTAATAGAGGTAGTAATACATTCTCTTCCTAATTAAAAGAAGAATGAAACTACTAAATTCTGTACATACATGTTTGCCCGTTGCTTCACATTGACTGTGGATCATAATTGCCACTAATCAATGAGCAAGATGGCAGTAGAATTACTTTTAGATTATTCTGTTTTTTCCATCCTTCTGAGAGAGATGTCCATATCTGGACATCCTGGCATTTTACATATGTTAGATTGGGGGAAAAAAAATTCATACAATAGTCAGCAGAGGCGCGTGACTTTATCCTCCCCACTATACTGCCCCAATTTAAAAGGAGATTTGGTTATACGTCAGTATTTCTGAATGGTCTTGGGCTCTGACACAGGATTTAATCTTGGTGTGCCTAAGATTGGACGTGTGACCATTTATTGATGTGCAAAAACTTCAGTTTTAGGACATACTGCAAACTAATGGATTTTTTTTTATTTTTCTTGAGCTATAGAAATTGGGATAATAGCACTAGCCCTCAATAACATATTTTTTCACATCTGTTGTGAGCAGTCCATTTTATATTCTCTATTTCATCTCTCTAATTATGTAACAGCAGCCAATCTGGATACATGTTGTAATTTGAAATAATGGTAAATTATGGTCTGAACTCTGGTTATCCCGATTTTTTTTATATTTCTATAATACAAACATTTTAAAATTTCATTTATTCATTCAATTATCTAAATACTTAGCACAATTTTGGAGGCTGTATATATGTTTTTTCAAGATGTTTGGATAATTAAGTTTTCCTGTAAATAAGGATATTGCTTTATAATTTCCTGGTGGTGTTCAGATGGCACTGAAAATGATAGTTTAAAATTTCTGCAATTTTCTGCAGAATCTGAAGTTTAATCATCAATTTGTCCCCTTTAAAAAAGTAGCCCGTAAGATATCATTAAAATTGAGTAAAGTAATGTTTTATATTAAACAAATATAGTTAGTAACTCTTAACTTCATTTTTACTTTCACAAATCTGATTTGCATCAGATTTTTGGAATAAATCTCTTCATTTGATTGCCTTGCATTAATATATTTCTCCATAAATGTAATCATACATCTTAAAAGGATCTTCAACTGTGTTAACTTATGATCTGGGTGAATTTAAAATTAATCTTTGCTATGTTAAGGCTTCAGGCCACCTTTATGTCTTTTGAGTGTTTTGGTTCCCAGTAGAATAGTTCCAGTGCTAAACTATCAAATTAGTATTATAGCTGTGATCCTGCTCATTAGAACGCACGTACACACAGTGATTTTGCTACAAGAAACTTTCATGTTTTCTTGCTATGATAGTGAAACTGCTCTGCTCTTTCTGAAATGACTTAATCACACGGTTAGAAGGATTTTGTCCATTTGATCTCACTATCTCTTAAACCACTGATACTAGTTCATGGAGTTCACATAAAGCTATTTATTTTATATTAGGCTTGCTGTCAGACGTGTTTGTTTGATCACACTTCTTTTATTAGCTTGCAGTTTGATTAGTTGCTTTTGAAAGAGACAGTGGTATTCCTAAGTTCAGTAATTAATTCTGTTATTACCCTTTTATACTCCTTTTTATTTCTGTATAAACTTCCCTGACTTACCCAAGTTCTCTTCTCTTGTAAAAAAACACGCAAAACAAAAAACATTTTATTACTGAATAGTTTGCCAATTTTGTTATTTGTAATACTGATTATTTCCTATCTGTATACTTAAGTAGTAACGATATAGGATAGTGGTTCCCAACCTTTTCGAGCATATGGGTCCCTTTTCAATTTATTAAAATTTAATTGACATCCCCCACCCCCCACTTCTGTGAGAGAAAAGAAAAACAAGAAAAAAGAGAGGAAAAAGAGGGAGGGGAGGAAAAAAGAGAAAAAAGAAAGGGAAAAGAGGGAAACAAGTAAAAAAGAAAAAGAATGGATCTGATCCTTATTTTGAAACTTTCCAAGGATCTCCTGCAGTACCGTCACAGACTACCGCGGTCCACAGACCACAAGTTGGCAACCACTAATATAGGATAAGCTCCTGATTTATTATGACGAATATATCACCTGTTTGAGAAGTAGATGATGGGAAAAAATCATCTTTTTTCCTTTTAGAGAAACATTACTTTTTATCACTTGTTCTTCCTGTTCATTCACAAAAGACAGTTGGTCCAGATTGCATCAGTAAAGCCTATGATTAGCAGACATTTCTCCTATCCTCTCTCCTTACACAGGTTTTGTATACATTTTAGAATTTATTATAAAACTTAAATTAACCTGATAAGTCTGATTACTTATATTGTTGTATCCTATCATCCCATTTCAAACTGAAGACCTTGATTAATGGTTCATTAAACACATCCATTTATAAATTGCTATCCCGTGTAGTTCATATTTTAAATCAGTGGCTAGCAACAGTAAAGCTGTTATTTCTGTATTGATATTCTAAAAATAATATTCTCTCCCTTTTCCTCTTTCCTCGTTACATTTTCTTGTAATGCAGAAACTTTTTTCCACATAGCCACCCCACTATAGATTTTAGTCTCCTTAAATATCTCACTATTAAGTAGCTATCCCAAAGAAAACTGTATTGGAGCATTACCAGGGTCAAAGGAATTAGGATAAGCAAAGCTGGTTCCCTACCCTCCTCTCTAGTGTGCCACTCTTCTTCCTTCAACTGCCCTAGGTGTACCAATTCCTTGAGGTAATGAAGACTAATTCTCACAGCTCCCCCAAAAAATAGCAATGACTTTCAGTTCTGTCTTAAGTTCCTGAGAGGAGCAAACACAAATTGGTGACACAGAATAGAGGCTCAAACAACAGATTTAATATTATCGAGCCAAATACTGTGAGGATACCAGTAATAGCATAAGAATGCTGCTCTTGCTTTAGTTGGCACTTCAGTGGAAACAGTATATATCTAATGAGAGAATTTGCCACTGTATTTGTGCTACATTGTCTGTAAAACTTTTCTCTAAATTGCATTTCAGCTTTGCAATGTGTCATCTTTCTGCTGCAACTTTTTCTGTAGCATTCTTCCTCGGTAGCAATTTTAACATTTATGATACTCTGTTATAGATGCTATTGGTGGTGAAACAGAGGATGAAAGATCATATCAACAAAACAAATGTGTCACTTATGATGTCTCTAAGTTAATAAACTATCCAGGCTTTAATATGTCTACTCCAAGTGGGATCTCAGATGTAAGTGTATATGCATCTCACCCAATTGGTGTGGTATTATAAACAAAACAGTATTACCTATTTGTGGATTATTTAAACCATGATGGTGATCTGCCAATAAGTTTGCATTCAATTATCCATTATTTGTGAGTTTTTTAGTATGTAACAGTTAATTAAGATCTCAGATGAAGCCTGCCTGTGCAATAGTCTGTCTGTCTATTTTTGTGGATGCTAGTAAATCTCCAGGAGACTGCTACTAATGTATAATGTTGCTTTATTTCTATATAATAGTGCACCTATGCTGATATTCAGATTTTCATTTAAATGCCAATATTATTCAAACAAAGCTGAATGCACATTACTTCTATGAATCTGAAGTTTCTATGTCTAAAAAGTATTCATGAAATGTGACTGTTACTATAGCAATGCTCTACCATATAATCTTTGATAAACAAAAACTACATCAAAAGAATATCTTTTAGGAGCTGAGACACACAAGTTCAGTAATGCATCTTCCAACAGACAAAATGAGGCAGATCAAGAAACCAGTTAAATAGGCACCTGTTGAGCCTTGATATTGAAAGGTGCCTTAAATAATTTTCTAATCCTTATACTGTTTTCTGTCTGGTGGTTAATGGCCTCTTTAGGTAGCTTTTCCTCCGTTTTCTTTATTTCAAGTGTATTTTCATAGTTTTAACATAATTATTACTAGTAATTAGAAAGCCTTTATTCAAAATATAGCTCTTTATGTTCACTTTTCCTCATGAGAAGAAATTTTAACAGTGACACTATAAACTTGGAATAAGAGATTTGCAATAATGGCTCAAAAAAATCTCATTAAAGTGGTTCTGTGGTTTCTTACCCAAAACAGCTCTGTGAAGCAGTCATTTATATTTTCAAGTTGGAATGGAGCACCTCTTCTTGCCAAAAATTCATATTTAGGATTCCTAATTAGACAAATTTCTGGATTAATCTCAGTCCATATCTTGTACGTTTTAATTGCATGTGCATTTATTAACCACATCTTACTGAATGTCTAGCTTTATTGCTGATTTTTATTTGTTTTCCTGTAGGAATGGAGGATATTTGGTTCCATACCCATGCAGCCATCTCATCAGAAGGATGTTTTTGCTAGCTACCTTTCTAATTTTCAGGCGGTGAATATATTTGTTACATTTACATATGAAAAATTGGAAGAATCTTTTGTATTTCTCTATTGGTTTTACCAGTTGTCAGTGGTCTCTTGCTTATACCTCCAGCTTTGGCCAGAGGTGGCTAATAGGTGTTAGGTATTAGTGTGAAGTCCTGAGGTTTCTTCAGTACAATAGCCAAAAACAGTTTACGAGAATAGAGGTTAGCCCTATGAATAAACGGGCATTCTTGTCTATATTCGTTTAAGTCTATTTGGCCACCTGTTTCATGGCCAAAAAACCACCATCTTGTAAAACAACTTGGACTCTTTATTTTTATCTTATCTACTAAGCCCAATGCTAAAAGACAAATTTAAGGTTTGTAGGAACAGTTAGCTAATTCAATTTGGATATTGTTTAAATTTTATGCAGACTATATCTGAATTGCATTCTTGTCTAATAGTCCATCTTGTAGTTGACTATCATAGGCATGCTTTCAGATGTTTCTTGGTTGAAGAGCTAAATACTATGTTTACAGAATATATGTGGCTACCTTGTTACATAACTTTCTCTGCGACCTTAATCTAAATGTTTAGCTCCAACCTAGTGTTGTTTCTTGCTTCACGCAACAAACAATAATTGAATTTCAAGATTGTCTCCTCTTTTCTGACCTGTAGGGACATTTTAATAGACAAGACTTTTTATGGGGCTAGAGAATGAAGCATTAAGTTGTTCTACAGATAAAGAATGGTTCCTATGCGATGGCTACAAAGGGAATGTCTCGTTCATGTGGTATGGTGGCTTCCTGAAACCTGGTGTGTAAGCACAGAGAAAGGGAATGTTCTTAAGGATCTGATATGGAGGCAGACAAAACCCCTTTCTCATTCACTACTGAAAACCAAACAAGTTTGCTGTTTTTTCATTCAAGAATGTTAAACCTTTCACGTTTATCTGACACCTCATTGTTTTGCTTATAAAACGAACCCTATCAAATTGAGGATTTTAGTAGAGAAAATATTGCCATTTTATATCACACAAGAGTACCTTAATAATACTAATTCATATTCTGTTTTCCTGGCTAACTTTTCTTCAGCCAAGTCCAAAATCTATCAATAAAAGGTCTGCATATGAGTCAAGTTCTCACAATTCAAAGAAGCTAAAAGGAGACAATTCTGCTGTATCAATAACTGATATGGACATGGATTCTGGTATAATTTTTTTTCAATTTTAATACTATAGTTTTGTAATAACTTTATTTTTACTCTGTAGTGAAATGTGAACTTCATTTCCTGTAATTTCGTGTAAGAACTTCAATGCTACCATTATTATCAGTAATTCAATTAATTGAGTTAGTAACTGAATTACTAACACATTATCTAATTGTATGGCAAGATATTATAACTGTTCTACTAACATAGAAAACTAACCATATTTTTTGAGTATTTTGGACAACTGTGGGGCCTTCTATAATTTTCAAACATTCTTTGTCAGTATTTTACACTCATTGCAACAGAGTGAGAGGTACAGCTCAGCCCAAAGGAAGGTGAATCTGCAGGCTGTTACTCCCAATTTTTATTTGGGTCACTTAATAATCCAAAGAAACATGAGTTGGACAAGTATTCTCGTAACAGCAGATGCCCTTGTTGGTATTTTCAGGAGAAACCAACAATCAAGTTGGCATAGAAATGTAATTGCCTTTCACCCTTAAAAGGCAGAGGTGATCCAGTGATTTGGGCACTCAGCCTAGGGGTTGGGAGATGTCGGATCAGTCTTTCTTCTGCCATAGATTTTTCTGTGTGATCTTGGTCAACTCACTTTTATTCTTCATACCTCAGTTACCCATCTCTAAAAAGATTATTATAATAATCTGTCCTCAGAGGGATGCTGTGATAATAAATACATTAGTTAGAGGCTTTTAGAAAATTCCTATAATAGAAACAGGATTAAAAATATACTCTGAGCTAACATGTTTTAGTGTTTGTATATTAATATTCAATATAAGGAAGCTTGAAGGCAAAATCTGAATACAGCCACTCCCCGAGTTACGAACAAGTTACGAACAAGTTACGGACCAAGTGTTGGTCCGTAACTCGAAGTGTTCATAACTCTGATCCCATAGAGTTACATGGCGACTGCGCTGTTCGTAAGCACAGATCGCTGTTCGTAACTTAGATCCGCATTTACGCCTCTTTGGTTGTAAGTGCAGATGGTCGTAAGTGCAGATGGTCGTAATTCGGGGAGCGTCTGTAATCAATTAAACAATTTGTTTTCCTAATTCTCTCTGGAATTAGAAGGAGGACTTAATCAGTTGGGTTTACCATTCAGGGAATGCTCTAATTTGATATTTATATATGATTTTACATGTACTGAAATAATACAATTGAAGGGATAACGTGTAAAAATAAGAATTCTGTGTATATAGCACCAATAGTTTTGACTCTGAATAAGCCCAAAGAATTTCCTGCTCTGAAGAATTAACAGTTTTAAAAGAAGCAAAAATAAAATATAATAGACAAAACAGAGGAAGGAGCTAAATTCAATTGTTTATTTTAAATTTCTGCATTCTGACAACCTGTGAGTATTGGATATGAGGGGGCGGGGGTTAGGAGCAATTAGAATAAGAAAAGCTTTAAAAGGACCAGAAAACTTGCCTTATTTAAAATATTTTAAGAAATCAAATTTGAGAATGATCTGTAACAGTTCTTCCAGTTGCAGTTCTGGATTCCCTCATACTGTGGAGGGAATTTCCACACACCTTGAATCTAAAATCTTTTAAGTTTGGCTTCAAATGTCTTTCAGTATTATCCATACTCAAGAGCATTTAAAATTACAGCTTTTAAAGCAGCCACCAAGGTTCCCTCTGGAATACAAAATGGCAGATTCAGTATGGCAAGTTCCAAGGATAATGGGACTTGCCAAAATTTGACACAGGCTTTTCAGCTGATAGAAATATAGCCATATCTGCTAATGCTTGGGTTCAAAAGGCTGAGAAAAATAATTTAATGTCTTTAAGCAAAGAATGCATTTTTTTAGATTTGAAATCTGATTAAAAGTAGGGTCAAGTAGGAATTAAATCTCAGTGCTACTAATAGAGATTTATTTAATCTTCTAATTTTAGATTTGGATATGCCTCATAGCTCTCTAGCCTGTGACAGTTTTCAGTTCCAACCTCCGCTTCCACCTGGATCTCCATTAATTGCAACTCCACCCCCATTGCCTCGAGGAACTCCTCCATGTACTCCACCAAACTTTGCATCCCCTCAGCCTCCAGCACCAACTGCCTCTCTTCGCAGGAGTACTCCTGCATCAACTCCTTCCAGTGATTCTGCTCAGCCAAGAGTGGGGGATTCAGCCATGGATGAAGATACTTTAACCTTAGAAGAGCTTGAGGAGCAGCAGCGATTGATTTGGGCTGCACTTGAGCAAGCAGACAGTACAAACAGTGACTCTGATATACCTGCTGATACACCTTTAACTGGAAACTCGGTTACATCATCACCATCTAGAACTGAACCGGACGTTATTCCAGAAAGAAGAACATCTGAGAAGCTGGCTGGAATGAAAATTGGGGTTTCAGAAACTAGCGTGCAGTTATCCAGAACTGAGCATTCCAAAAGTGGCACTAATTCAGGGGATGTGTTGCTTGATCTAAAGGAAGATGGCACTGATCATGTGGATTCTGAAGGCATGCTGGAGAACAGTATTACAGGCTCAAAATGTGATGTTAACAATGGAGGAAATGAAGATATTACTCATGTGCTCACCAGTGCTGAATCATCTACAAAAATTTCAAATCCTGTTCC